TTTTATTTATTTATTTGACAGAGAGAGACACAGCGAGAGAGGGAACACAAGCAGGGGGAGCTGGAGGGGGAGAAGCAGGCTTCCCTCAGAGCAGGGAGCCCGATGTGGGGCTCGATCCCAGGACCCTGGGATCATGACCTGAGCCGAAGGCAGACGCTTAACGACTGAGCCACCCAGGCTCCCCTATTATAACTTTTTTATTGCTGGAGAATATTCCATTCTAAAATGGCTAAGAATAAAGGCTGTAGTCTCAAATTGGATTTGGAGCCCAGCTTCAATACTTAATCTCTGACTAAACTTGCACAAGCCATTTATTTAACCTCTCTGTGTCTTGATTCCTCGCCTGTGAAATGAGGATAATAGTATCTTTCTCATGTTAAATAAAATACACATAAAGAACATAGAAGGGTGCTTGACACAGCAAAAGCTCTCTTTGGGTTATTTTTGACCATTATTTATTTAGCTAATTCTATATTAGCTTAGCATTTAGTTTTTTTCAAAAACTTTTTTGCAATAATAAAATCAAGTTTTGATTTAAAAAATGAAATTAAAACAAGCTTTTTCTGTTTTTCTTTTTGAAGGAATTTGTACTGTCCACTTTTGGGGTCTGCCCTGTCCTTTGCTTTCGTTCGAACCTCTCAGGAGACTCTGGTTCAGCACTAGAAGGAAACTCTCTCAGAGCCAGTTCTGCTACCTGACAAAAGAGGGCGCAGTTGCACTGCTCGTACATGACTTCCTGTGTCAGCAAATATCCAAGTGCTTTAGGAGTAATGCTGTTTGTAATCATTTTCAGATTCACCCTTACCAATTACAACAAGCTGTACCTCCAGAGCTGGTTTAGTCTGCAGCGAGTCGAGATTATTTTCAATAATTCAATCCAAGCAACTTTTGATGCAACTGGCATCTACGCTCCGTCAAGTTATTCCTACCACTGCCAGCGTGTCAGCAGCCTGCAGCGGTATGATGCCCTCTTGTTGCCCAGCTACACGGATGACATGTCAAGCCTGTGGGAGGTCACTTTTGTTGATTTCCAGGTAATGAACTAAAACATATGCTCAGTGCACCTGTGTATTTGGTGCCAAAGAAACTCAGTGTTTGGAAACACCGGAAATATAGATGTTTCGGGAAAAGAGAGGAATGGTTACCTTTAAAATAATATTGGTATTTTTTTTCTTTATCTTCTAAGTCATGAAATGGAATAGGATAGAATATTTCCTCTCCCTGTGCACTACCCACACCCTACGCACCGCCCCCCCGCCCCCCGACTTGCTTTTACAGTCACATTTCTGCAGTCACTAATAATTATCAATGAGGAATGCCAGCAATCTAAGCTTGAGTGAAGCTGTGGCATGAAGCCCAGTGACTGACAGTTCCTGGAGTGAGAGGCCCTTCTGGGGAGAGGAACTGTTGGGAAATTATTTTATTTCCTTCAGGGAGTGGAGCAGTGATTCTATCAGGACAGATAAGAAGTACATCTGTAGCATGAGTGACAGCTTTGGCAGTTAGCACAGGAATGGAACTGTCAGCTACGGAGTCAAAAATACCCCAGAGATCCTCTTGAAAGTATTTGGGGAAAGGCATGGGGGCATTAGATGTTTCTTTTCACCACCAGAATCTCAGGCAGAAAGACATCTGTCAACTTCCTCTCTCCTGTTTACCTGTAAAGAAAGCTTCACTCGTTCTTCCAACTCATTGAAATAGACACGGTTTTGCATGTCCCTCTTATGGGCACTTTCCAATCTTTTCCAAATGTAAATGGATTTACTTCTTCTTCCCCCCAGCTTGGAGAGGTGTGCAGTTTGGGGTAGGGAAGGAGCTTGCACTTTGGAGTTTGAAAGAAAGACTTGGTTTCAAATTGCTTGTCAGCTACCTGGGCAAACTACTTCACCCTCTTGATTTCTGGCCTTTCTTTTATGAATGTAAAGAAGTCATGGCCTTATTATGTGGCAACAGCGAGGACTGTGTCAGGCGTGGATTAACAGTAACTACTACTTATGAGTCCCCCGCCCAGTGTGTCAGCACTGTTGCGGTTATTTTACATACTTTGTCTTCAAAACTTATAATGTTGCAAGATTGCTGTTGTTATCCCCGTTTTAAAAATGCAATGACTGAAGTTCTGATGATTACATAATTTTTCAAAGTGATATAACTCGTAAATGGTAGAAGCAGAATTTGAATTCTGCACTGACTTCAGAGGCACTTTATAATATATATATAATGTATATGTATTTATCAATATTTAAGAAGTACATATTATATATATTTCTCTCACTTGCACTTTAAAAAGAGAAGCAGGCACAAAGTAATAACGAAAACAAGGAATAATTCACACGTAATCTTGCCTAATGAGAACAGAGGAATTGACCGATTTATACCTCTTCCTTGTTTTAGAAATGATTTAGGGTGACTTAGAGAAACACTGTAAGAAAACTGACTTTGAAAAATGCACAAACCACACCCATTAGGATGGTTATTATAAGAAAACAAGCAAACCCAAAACAGAAAATAACAGATGTTGGCAAGGATGTGGAGAAATTAGAACCCTTGTACACTGGTTGTGGGAATTTAAAATGGTGTAGCCTCTGTGGAAAATGGTATGGTGGTAGGTCCTCAAAAAATTAAACATAGAATTACCATGTGATTCTGGGAATTGGAATTGGAAGCAGGGACTTGAACAGATACCTGTATACCCAGGTTCATAGCAGCATTATTGACAATAACCAAAAGATGAAAACAGCCCAAATGTTCATCAGTGGATGAATGAAAAAGGCTAGTGTATACATGCGATGGAATATTACTCAGCCTTGAAAAGGGAGGAAATTCAGATACAGGCAATGGCATGAATGAACTTTGATACTATGCTAAGTGAAATGAAGAAAAGGACAACTATTTGTATGAATTCACTCATATGAAGTATCTACAGTAGTCCGATTTGGAGAAGAGGGGGGACAGGAGGAATTAGTGTTTAATGGAGTTACAGTTTGCAAGATGAAAAGTTCTGGAGATGGATGATGGTGATGGTTGCACGATAATGTGAATGTACTTAATGCCACTGAACTGTACACCTAAAAATGGTTAAGATTGTAAATTTCATGTTATATATATTTTATGATAAAAAATATAAAACAAAAAAATGGGCAAAGACATGTGGCTTAAGAAAAACAAAGGAAGAACAGATCAATTAGAGCCACTAGCGAGGCTGGTACACAAAACCATAAGACCGTCTGTCTGGTCTGGCTGGAAGCGGCACAGTGATTTCGCCCTGAAGCTTGGGAGCATCCAGGATAAGAAAGAATCGCTCAGTTACATGTTCTTGGGGTTCAGAAGACTATTGGAAGTGTGCTTGTGGGGAGCACATCCATCGCTGGTATAGTGCAGCATGTGCTAACGTCTGTGACAACAGCCTTACGGTGAACACAGCAGTGGATGTCATGGTGCGCCTCGTTAAAACACCGTTGATGTAAGCACATGGTGGAATGCAAGCTCAGTCCACGCAAGAGGTGGTGGTGATAGTGATTCAGGTATGTATACAGAAGGCTGCATTCCACATAGGTGGCTTTGCCCATCTGATTTATTTTAAGAATAAAGTGTAGCATGATGCCCCAAGCGTGGCAAAGTGAGATGCCCTTGGTTTGCCATCTGGATACCGGTAAAGTGTAGCAGCATCACAAAGAGTATGTTTATTCAGCTCCAGTTAATTTAATTTTTGCTTCTTAGGAAGCAAAAAGCATTCTTAGGATGCAGGCTCAGTGTTGCTGGCTCTTCAATTTTTCAATGGAAGCTAGAAGTCTGGATTTTAAATAGGAAACTCTCAGGATGTTCAGAACTCTGGGCCTAACAAAACTCACCTGTGGGCTAGATACAGTGTGTTTATAACCAGTAGTCCAGAAAATGGATGGACAAGATGTCCTTCAGGTATTCTCCACAGATACTGTTCTCAAGCAAGTCTTAAGAATTAAATAACAGTCAATGTGAGGACATTGTCTTTGGCTGGAGTTGTGGCATCAAATGAGGCCATCTTTTGTCATTTTATCAAGAGCTTGACTCTTCAGGCACTAGTTTGAAGAGAAGACCACTTTGCCTCTTCATGGAGGAGTGGGCCAAGGATCCAAGAAGCCAGGCCAAGAGTCTCCTTTCGGAGCTGTTTTGGATCAGTCTAGTGCACAGACAATTGGGTGGGCAAGGCATCTAAAGTCTATGGCTACAGGCATTTTAGCGTTAAAAAATGGCAAAGCACCCACTTAAGTCATAAAAATGAGTTCTCACTTAAAGCACTCATGGATAATTCAGTTTTCTGATGTACCCCTTTGAAACTAACTAGGTGACTGAGGTGATATTGTTTAGGATTCTGTTCTAAAAGCCAACTAAGTGTGGGAGCCGCCTTCTACAAATGATTGCTCTTATTTAGAGTAGTTACTCTGGGTCAGTCTTGATTTAAAATTGTTTCATTGTCCCCATAAGCACATTCACATTTGTTAGATCATGTGTTCAAATTAATCAGTAAGTACGGGCCCCAGTGTCTTAAATTTGGTTAACCAGGAGTCCAGAACCCTCAGCCCAACTAGAGGTAGACCTTAGGAGAGAAAGAGTATGTCACTTCAGCTCTTTGTCCTGACAGATCCAAGGCTTCACCATCAAGGCAAGGCAGTTTGCCAAGCCCCGAGACTGTGCCTCCTCCTTCTCACCAGCCATTCTGATTGGCCTGGCCATGTCCCTGATCCTGCTGCTGGTGTTGGCCTACGCTCTGCACATGCTCATCTACCTGCGGTATCTGGAGCGGCACTATGATTTCATCACCTCTCCGGCCCACTTCCCCCAGTTGAAAGCTCGAGATGCAGCAGAAGAGAAGGAGCTGCTGAGGAGCCAGGGAGTCGAGTGCTATGAACTGAGAAGCCAACAGATCTGCAAAATTTATGTGTAATAGCGCAGGCCCCTCTTCCTCACAAAGTCCACAGTGGGCTCTGAAAGGAGTTATTTCTGTCTGTCCTCTTTGACTTGTGATATAAAATGTTCACCTCATGGCTTGATTAAAAAAAATACATGCAAAAAATACATTTTGGAGCATCCGCTGGCCTACGTAGAGAGATTTGAGGCAATGAAAAAGTCCCAGGAACCCCACAGAGATAAATACGATTGTTGCCCTAAAACTACTTGGAAGTTAGGAAGACAGAAAAAACCATTGATGCCATTAAGAGAGGGGAAAACATACTTGGTCCTCGTTGCTTGTGCCAGTTCAGATGTGATAATATAGAAATAGTAATTCCAAGGTTATCTGGAAGTTCAGAATTTAAAGTATTTGTAAGTTTGCATTTTTAGAAATTTTATCCCAGTTTTGTTTTAAAAAAAGTAGTCTTCTCTTTTCCAGAGCTGTTTAGGGAAGACTCTTGTCAGTATGGTAGAACACTTTATCCAAGGGCTTTCTTGTCATTTACTTTGCTGTTCAGAGGCCCCCCAGTTCAGTTTGTGAAAGAGGGTAACAGTCTTGTAGTTTCTTACCTTTTCCATCTGGTTGTGGTGCCAAGGCTTGTTTCATTGGTCTGATTAGACATCCATTAACTCTCCTAGGTGCTACTTGAAATAAGCGACTGAGCTAAGAACAGTGTGCTTGCTATGCAAACACAGCTTCACAGCAAATCTCCTAAACCCCCTTCCAGTGAGATTGGGTCCCTTAAACTCTTCTTTAATAGAAATTCTGCAGCCACCACTGCTCTTCTTACATATGGATTTCTGCATAGTCTTTCCCAGTTCTTGACAGATACTGAAGATTGGCTTCCCCTGAATTTTCACCAGAGCTTCTCTAATATGCCTTGTGTGTTAAAGAGAGCTTATGTGTAAAAAGTACATTGTATTTCCCTAAGTAGGTTTCCACACATGAACTAGGGTTCCGTACATGACCTGCACAAAACTTAGAAAGCAGATGGGAACAATGTGGGGTAGAGGATCATGCATAGAGAAATTGAATCTCTTGGGCAGCTGTGGTAATAAGTTTACAGTCTAGTACCATCTTTGATGCCAAGTGTGAATGACAATGATTTGGGTTTCTGATAAAATAGTCTTACGTTGGACATTTCTTTTGGCTGCATTACTCTTGGCTGTGAATATAGGTTTGGTTCCAGCCCTCTCAGAATTCTGTAACCTCTTAATACTCTATAGTGAAATTTTTGTTGTTTTTTTTAATACCTGGAGTGGATTCTGTATTCTGTAACTAAGAATCTTGATTCATGTACCTATTTGTACCAAAGATGGTTATAGGGAACACACCCTGAAGAATATGGGAATCTAGTATTGATTTTTTGGCCCTGTTTAGCCTAAAACCAAGGAGGACTCTTAGCATTAGAGAATGGGAAACAGATAGTTCACATCATTCCATAATGGAATTTTCATTGTGGTTGTTTTGAGTATCCATTGGTGGTATCAATGGTAGTTGTGGTAGGCTATAGGTACTTGAAGGATAAACATGACTTACGGTCCAACTGGGACACTTCTGAAAGTGAAAACGTCATTAACAATTCCAAGATAACAGACATAAGCAGAATGGTGCCAAACTGGGATATGTAGTCACCCTAGATATGGTAAGACCATACAGGTATGGTGATTGCCCTACAGGGTGAGACCCTGTAAGGTGAGGTAAACTGGCTCTTTCTAACTGTGCTGGAGGGCTTACAGAAAGAAAATAATAGCTTAAGATTTAAAATTCACAGCTCAAGTCATGGTAAAAAACAAAACAAAACAAAACAAAAACCAAAACCCAGGGAGTTTCTATGACTGATCTACAGCTCTTATCAAGGGGCTGACATAGTTGCAAATCAGACACACAGGTCTGATCCTGTAAATTGGTAAAATGTGTTGTAGGTGGAATTCACAGCCTTGCCAGATCTCTTAATGAATATGAGGGCACTGATTTTTACAAAAGAGAAGAAACTTGAAATAAGAATGGTAACTTGGGGATAATTAGACAACTTTAAGGATATTGAACCCATAAACTCCACTAAGTTTTTCTTGCTAGCAGAAGCAACCCTGTCAGGTGAAGCTATTCTGACTTCACCAAAGATAGTTACCTTGCCAGGGGTGCCGATTTTCCTCAATGTCTCTAGACAATTGGAATCACACTCTAGCATATCCCAGGGAACCAATTGCAAAGTCAAATATGGGAGAATAAAAATTGGAAGGTTTTGCTAATTTATGCAACAAAAGATGGAGGAATATGTGGGAGAATGGATGCTGGAGGTGCTAGCTCAGAGAGGGAAGTGTATAATTTTAGATTGGGCTGAATTTTTTTAATAGGTTCTCTTACCAGATTTTGGGTTAAATATTCTGGTTTGAGCAGCTGGCAGTATTTCTAACCATTTACTCAGTTGATTAAGTTGTGGCCTCAAGAGTGACATGCCCTAAATGAAATAGACCAGAAATTCATTGGTATAATATAGAGGAAGAAAATAAATTTAACAACTTAGAGAATTGAGATATAGGAATGGATTTATTATGCATGTCCTGCTCTCCATCCCCAAAACTATTTTCCTCTGTGAAGGCCCCAGAGGACACTTATTGTCATAGCACTGAGCTGAAAAATACATTGGGAACATAGCATCAGCATTTTTGAAAAGTGCTCTAGTTGCTGTCCTCTGTAGGCTATGGATGAAGGCAGGAGATGCTATCATTGATTCCTTAATCTCAGTGGGAATGCCGGGATCCTGGAGATAGCATCACAGTGTTAAGGGGCTGTAGGGCAGGAATGTTAATCAGATTAGATCATGTTTGTTAATGGTAAAGTAATCTATGACAGATGTATCAGGGCAGTCCACTAAAGAACTCGCATTCATCTGAATAATTGTAATCTTAATAAAATCTAGTCCTTGTATAAAAAGACCTTGTTTGAACCATCATGGTGGATTCCCAGAGCTGAGTCTGTTGATAACTCAACAAGAGAGCTCTTGACTGAAGAGGAGACCTCCTAAAAAAGGGTCTTTGGTCTTCATATTTAATGTTGAGCATTATCATGAATGATTTTATGCTTATCCATTAGGTATCTTTCTTTTTTGTATCACTTCTGGTATGTTCTGATCTTCAGGTAAAGAACTTAATCCTAGTCCCATGGATACCTTTATTATTAACCCAACAGGTATGTGATTATAGCCCTATAATTGTTAGTGCTTCAGGAGCATAGCCTAAGAGATGTCTGTCTTCCTGGGAGGTCTGGAACAATATGGCAATGAAAGTGATATTTGATATGAATAGAAGTTGACTGGGCAGGTAATATGGAGAAGGACAGATATGGCAGAAGGAAACACATATGGAAAGACTGGACTTTACCATGTGAGGAGAACTATGAATACATGTCTATGGGCAGTCACATATAATGTATTTAAAGGAGTGAAAGATTAACCTGGAAATAATTGAGGGAACAGGTCATTGTACTCAACTAAAGACTTAGAATCTTGACTTGAGGTAATGGAGACATTCCTGAGGAGATTTTGGAGGATTTTAAGAAAGGGGATTGCATAGCAGATAAGTGTGAGTAGAATAGGGACAGATACTCCATTTAGGAGATTATTGGAATAGTTCAGATGAAAAATAATAGGACATAAACTTAGAGAGTGGGGTGAGAGGAAAGAGCAAGAAGAGGTATTGAGGAGTTTGGTTCAATAAATTTTGGGAACCAATTGGCAAGTCACAAATGTCTGTTAGGTATCTTATTTGGGGTGCTGGGTGGATGGTGATACCAATTTCTGAAATCAGGAATAGGAGAGGGTAGGAGTTTGAGATGGGAGATGCCTATAGGCAGATCCTATAATGGAGATCCAAGTAGACAGTTTGGTTTATGGATCTGGGGCAGAATAAAGAGATCTGGACTAGAAATTTGGAAATGTTACAGATGCTGTCAGTGTCCTACCCATATTTCTTTGCCCTTACTGCATCCTGACCCATCTCTCTGTTGCCAGTTACTGCCCTCTAAGGCTGCTCTCCTTGTGTTCATGGCAAGCTGAAGATTTAATGCCTCCCAGGAGCAGCCTTCATGCAGCAACTCTCAGGAGTTGTGAATAAATACCCCAACTCATTTGTCCCTTGACTAGAATATTTCTAGAGTGTGTTGTACATCATTTCCTGGAGCTCCCCAGCAGGACTTAGCTCTTTTGCCCATTGTGGTATCTTGCTTGATAAAGTTCACTTTATTAACTCCCTTCTCTTTCTTGTCTTCCTTGCTCCCCTAATGATGTTTCCTAATGATGTTGGCATTACCTCCAAAATAAACTACTTGTGTTTAAATCCCAGTCTCAGGATCTGCTTCTCAGGAAATGAAAACTAAGACAAGCAGTAATGGGCATGGAGGCAAAGTTGACTAGTTGACTGCATTTGAAAAATAGCTAAAATAAGCTTTTACAAAAACATAGAATTATTAGAATATAATGCCCAGGAACCCTTCCAGGGCCCTGGAAGAGAGCTACATAAGTGAATGTGTGTGTGTGTGTGTGTGTGTGTGTGTGTGTGTGTGTGTTTACAGAGCTTTGATCTTATACACAATGGTGGACACAGGTTAAATAGTTTCTGTGAGCTTGTCATCTTCATCTTTGATGCTAAAACTTGAAGTTTAGCATAGCAGGCAATTGGGAAGGGAAAATGGATGTAAGGTATTGGAGAGCAAGGACAAGCTAGAATCCAAAAAGAGCTGGGACTGTAAGAATGAACTGGGGCCTGTGTCAGTGTTCACTGCCTCCACCTTTGTTACTGTAGTGCCCTTTGTTTAAAATGGCCCAGAGCTGAATGAATGGCTCAGGGATTGAAGATGTTGAAGAAAGATCCAGGAGAAGGTGGAGCATCTGCCAGCCTGGGTGCTGCCCTCTGCCAACAAGGTGAGCCAGCAGATAAATGATAATTTGCTTGAGCTACAAATGTACCTTGACCCCACCATGTGAAGGTTAAAAAACGATACGGCTGCTTCTTCACTTCCACCTTCTAAATCTCATGCAAATAGGTCTCTCTAATATGGCTTATCTTAACCAGAAGCATACAGGGAAATTAATTCTGGGAAACATAGTTCAACTTACCTGTATTTTCCTTCCAGGCAAAATGAACAGCCAGCTACATTGCTCAAAGTCCTGTCCACGGGGAGGATTGCCCTTTACCACTGTCCATCAAGGCCAACCCGGCATGGGGCTGTAGTGTGATAGCTGCCCAATTTCAGGTTGTGCCTTGCATACATTAAGTAGAACCATCTGTAAACCAAGCCCGAGTTTTTTCTTCCTTAGGAACTGCTCACAAAGGACTGCCCATTAGGCCGTAGGTATAGGTTGAAGGAGAGAAGGCAGTTAGTTAGGAGTGGGAGGCATGGACATCTAGGCTACTTCCTCATGCAATTGACTTGTGCCTCCAAGACTTGCTTGAGCCTGCTTTCCATATAGAACTTTTATTTGAGCCTGGAGTGCTGCTACTGTGCATGCCTAACTTTGTGGGCTTGGTGAGTCAGACAGTACTTCATGATGGGCACCCCAGGTCACATGGTAACTTGGTAGCCCATGATCAGATGTTCTATCTCTACTAAGGTCAAGTAGAAAGTCAAAAAACCAAAAGCTTGTTTCTGAAAAGGAGAGTAGTTACCTTCATAGGATGGCATGGCTCTGTTGCAAAATTCTAAGGGTCCTTATTGTGACTCACTAATAGGGCCCTGCTGCAGGCTCCATACAACATCCGTCTCCACCACTGACACTTTAAGCTGACTCTTTATGCACAACCTCACAACATTGCAGCTTTTGCAATATCCTTCCCCTAGAACTAAATATAATCCCTAAACTCTTGATGTGTGAATGTTTGATATGGACCCTGTGGTAAGAAGAATAATGCTTCTCACCCAGGGTTGTCCAAATCCTAACTCCTACACCCGTGGATATGTTAGCTTTCATAGCAAGAGGCTTTGCAGATGTGATTAAGTTAAGGGTTTGGGGATGGGGAGATTATCCTGTTTTACCCAGGTGGACTCAATGTAAACATAAAAGTTTTATTTTTTTTTAAAGATTATTTATTAGAGAGAGAGTGCAAGTGAGGGGAGGGCCAGAGGGAGAGGGAGAAGGAGAGGACTCACTGCTGAGTGCAGAGCCCTACGTGGAGCTCAATCCCATGATCCTGAGATCACGACCCGAGCTAAAATCAAGAGTCAGATGCTTAATTGGCTGAGCTACCCAGGTGCCCCCATAAAAATTCTTTTAAGAGAAAAAGGGAGAGAGGAGAGAGAGAGAAGGAGATGGATGTGACAACAGAAGTAGAGGTTGGAGTAATACAAGGAAGGAGCCATGAACCAAGAATGTAGGTGGCCTCTAGTAGTTGGAAAATGCAAGGAAACAAATTCTCCCTTAGAGCCTCCAGAAGAAATGCAACTCTGCTGAAACCTTGATTTTAGGACTGTTGACCTCCAGAACTATAAGATAACAAACTTGGATTGTTCAAAGCCACTGAGTTGGTGGCAGTATGTCACAATGGCAATAGGAAACTCTGATGTGAAACTGGACCCAAGAGGACATGAAGTGTCTGGGCAGAGTCCTCTCCCTCCCCGTGCATTCCTCCTCCCCTCCCCAGTTTCCATCATTCGCCACAAGACTGGCTCCCAGCAAACTTACAAAGGATGCAAGTGGGTCCTCATTGCAAGACTTTCCTTCTACCCCTTCTTCTGTGCCCTGTGACCTTATGTAAACCCCTGGCTACTTGAGGGCCCTACTAAGTGGCCCCTCTGTCCCATCAATTTTTTTCAGCAAGCTTCCTTTTTTTTTTTTATTTTTTGCTTAGGATTTGAACTCTAGTGGAAAAATGATAAGCTGTTAATGAAGCAGTGACTTACATTTTCAGATATATTTGAAATACATTTATATTTTCATAGAGTTTTTTTGCAGACTGTCTTACCCACATAAAAAATTACTGGTAGAAATTTCAGTATTGTGGCAGCTAATCCTAGAAATTTTGGAGCCTCTCAAATTACATCGGGTAAATGCCAGTCTATGTGCAGGGCATTTTCTGACTCCTTATTGCTTATCCCTGATGTCCATCAATGAATGTTTCCTCTTGTTGGGTTTGGCAAATCATAAAATCTTCAAAGGTTTACGCCGTTCAAATACAAACTTGTATTAGGGATATGATTTAGAATCCAGCACCCGCTGAAATAACTAAGTTCTCTTGTCTAATTGTTTTACTCTGAAGGTCTGTAGATGTGACAGTGACACATTTTCTGCTGCTCCTTCCTCTATATCAGAGCAGTGTTGCTGGTCTCCTCAGGACTGGAGAGCCGAGGTAAGTAGTTTGTGTTAGTGGCTCTGTTAGGACTGTGAGTCCATGCAGGAATGGGAGAGGTACTTACGGAAGATGCACTTCCATCTTTCTAGCCAAGGGATTTTAGTTAAAATAGCACACAGAAGAGATACTTTTTTTGTACTTCGATTTATTTACTCCAGTTTTATTAGATATAATTGACACATAACATTTCATGAGTTTATTTTTTTTAAGATTTTATTTGTCAGAGAGAGAGAGAAAAAAAAACACAAGCAGGGAGAGCAGCAGGCAGAGGGAGAAGCAGACTCCCTGCTGAGCAGGGAGCCCAATGCGGGACTCGATCTCAGGACCCTGGGGTCATGACCTGAGCTGAAGGAAGATGCTTAACTGACTGAGCCACCCAGGCACCCCATCATTTCATGAGTTTAAAGTATACAATGTGTTGATTTGATACTCTTTCATACTACAAAATGATTACCACCATAGTATTAGCTGACACCTCCATCATGTCACATAATTACCATTTTTTGTGTGGTGAGAACAAATAAAATGCAATCACTTAGGAACTTTCAAGTATATAACACAGTATTATTAGCTGTGTTAATAATTAATAATAATAATTATTAATAAATATGTACATTAGATCCCCAGAGCTTATGCATCTTATAACTAGAAGTTTATAGTTAAAAGAGATACTTTTAAATTGCCAGGGTCAAAATGCACCATCTCATACCTTGACAGTATTTGCAATGCTGTTCTTTGGATGAAGTCTTCTCTTAGACTATTAAAACCAGCTATGTCTGTTTTCCCAGCTTCTAGCCTCCAGTCTTGCAGCCTTCACAGTCCACAGGTCTGCTTTGTGAATCTATGCTCTGGATTTGGTCCTCTGTGTCCTATGCCTCTGTATATGACAGAAGGAAGCTAGTAGGGAAATGGAAAATAGCTCTTCTCCTCTGGTCTTAGAGCAGAGATGGACTAAGCTGCTGCTCCACATCTCTTTTGTTAATAGACCCCACCCTGGGGCTGGGGAGGCTACCTGTGGTAAGACTGTTTGCGGAGTGGCCACTAGTATTCCCCTCTCTCTATCTCTATCCCTTGTGATTATCACTTCCCTTAAAGAGTGAAGTGTATTTCCCCAGCATTTGAATCTGGCCTGGCCTGATGATTTGCCTTACCAAAAGAATGCAGCAGAAGTGATGCGGGGCCGATTCTGAGCTTAAGCATCCACTTGTTCTTCTGGAATCCTCTTCAGCTGCCAAGTAAACAATTACAGGGCAGAGCCTGCTAGAGGATGAGAGACCACCTAGAAGAGAGATGAGCCATCTGAGCTGAGGCCATGCTAGACTAACAAGGCCCCAGCTGAGCCAGCAGCTGACCTTGGATGTCTAAGTGAGCCCAGCTGAGACCTGAAGAACTGCCAAGCTGAAGTCAGCCTAATTGCCCACCTGCAGAATTTTGAGCTAAAAATGGTTGCTTCAGTCACTGGGTCTTGGAGTGGTTTGTTATGCAGCCAAAGCTTACTTAGTTGTCATCAAGGTTAGAAGCATTTTCAAGTTAGGAGTTATATCCACATCTGAATTATCATACTTGCTACATAAAAGGTGAGAAAGCAGAGGATGAAGCATATATGGAAGAGAAGAGATATAAAAGAAGGAATATATAGTTAGGCTGCTATTACTCTCAGCCCATTTTGGTTATAATCCAATTTCTTCTCCCACTAAATAGATCACTTACAATTCAGCAGGAATCTTCTGTTTTCAAGACTCAGAAACTCCCCACACTGCCTTAAGTAAAAGAAAATTAGTCTCAAGGGTATCTCATGGATTCCTAAGAGTCTGGATCCCAAGACCTAGCTAGATCTTCTAGAGTGATTAAACCTGGAACTGGCATATGATGTGAAATCAAGGGAACTTTCTCTGCTTGGTTGTCTTTGATCTCTTTCTCTTTGGTGTGGGATCTCGTATCACTTCTGCCTGTTTGCTTCACTTTTTCTCTTCTCAGTTCTCCACTTGCCC